AGTGTTTACCCCTTCAGCCCCCTTCAGCCCAGCGGGAGAGGGACCCTAAGGTTGGGGGGGGCCATAAAGTCCCTATAATGCCAGGTAAATGAGTTTGTCTATAGTGGTCCTTTAAAGGGGCATCTGGCCCTTTATTTAAAAAGAAATCCTTTCTTCTACTAGATGGGTCTCAGGCCAAACTATTTTAGAGGAAGAGGAGTGTGAGAGAACAGCAAGGACATGACGTCTTGGCCAATTAAGATTGCCGTGCCATGGGTGACAGTCTCAGGTAACTATAACTCATCTCTGCGGGAAAGCCCCTCAGAAGGTGACAGAGTCACTTGAATAAACAAATAAGCACAATGTATTATTAAAAAGTTATTTTCTGTCCAAATATATTCTTCCAAAATATCTCAGTCCCATGTGTCTGTTACATAGTAATATAAATCAAAAAACCCTTTCTGACATCTCTATAGCATTTGATGCAATCCCATCCTGAAACCATTTCTAATCTTACTGTGAAAGATGAGACAAATATTCCATGAGTGCAGTGTGTAGCTAGTAATACCAATATGATTAATTATGGATAAAAAACTCTCTAGATAGAGAACTACTTATATTTGTTATTCTTATTGTAAAGAACCATTTATTTTGCTATAGATAAAATCTCCTTTTATTTTAGTTCTTTGAAGATAACCACAGTTGCACAAAATATCCAATGCTTATTCAGTGGGGCTAATTCCCTAAACACCAAATTGTAGTTAGTTGAAATGCAAAGTGGAACATTTAGACTATAATAGGGCTGGCTCAAGCATTCCCTATATATTTTTTGGGACCTAGGCAGCCCTTGAACAGGGCAGGAAAATGGTGGGCTGATTGGAGATAGGAAAGGGAGGGATGTGGCTGAGAAAAGACATATTGGGAAGCAATGTGGCTGATGTGAGATATACTGGGGAGCGATGTGGATGAGGGGAGATATACTGGGGAGCGATGTGGCTGAGGGGAGATATACTGGGGAGAGATGTGGCTGAGCGGAAATATACTAGGAAGCGATGTGGCTGATGTGAGATATACTGGGGAGCGATGTGACTGAAGGGAGATATACTGGTGGGGATGTGGATGAGGAGAGATATACTGGGGAGCGATGTGGATGAGGGGAGATATACTGGGGAGGGATGTGGCTGAGGGGAGATATACTGGGGAGCGATGTGGCTGAGGGGAGATATACTGGGGAGGGATGTGGCTGAGGGGAGATATACTGGGAAGGGATGTGGCTGAGGGGAGATATACTGGGGAGCGATGTGGCTGAGGGGAGATATACTGGGGAGCGATGTGGATGAGGGGAGATATACTGGGAAGGGATGTGGATGACGGGGGATATATTGGGAGCGATGTGGCTGAGGCAAAATATGCTGGGGAGCGATGTGGATGAGGGGAGATATACTGGGGAGCAATGTGGCTGAGGGGAGATATACTGGGGAGCTATGTGGCTGAGGGGAGATATACTGGGGAGCTATGTGGCTGAGGGGAGATATACCGGGGAGCGATGTGGCTGAGGGGAGATATACTGGGGAGCGATGTGGATGAGGGGAGATATACTGGGGAGCGATGTGGCTGAGGGGAGATATACTGGGGAGTGATGTGGCTGAGGGGAGATATACTGAGGAGTGATGTGGATGAGGGGAGATATACTGGGGAGGGATGTGGCTGAGGGCTTATATACTAGGGAGCGATGTGGCTGAAGGGAGATATACTGGGGAGGGATGTGGCTGAGGGGAGATATACTGGGGAGGAAAGTGGCTGAGGGGAGATATACTGGGGAGGAATTTGGCTGAGTGGAGATATACTGGGGAGCGATGTGGCTGAGGGGAGATATACCGGGGAGGATTTGGCTGAGGGGAGATATACCGGGGAGCCATGTGAGGGGAGATATGAGCCATGTGGCTGAGGGGAGATATACTGGGGAGCGATGTGGCTGAGGGGAGATATACTGGGGAGGGATGTGGCTGAGTGGAGATATACTGGGGAGCGATGTGTATGAGGGGAGATATACTGGGGAGGGATTTGGCTGAGGGGAGATGTACTGGGGAGCGATGTGGCTGAGTGGAGATATACTGATAAGCGATGTGGCTGAGTGGAGATATACTGGAAAGCGATGTGGCTGAGTGGAGATATATTGGGAGCGATGTGTATGAGGGGAGATATACTGGGGAGGGATTTGGCTGATAGGAGATATATTGGGAGGGAAGTGGCTGAGGGGAGATATACTGGGGAGGGATGTGACTGAGGGGAAATATACTGGGGAGGGATGTGACTGAGGGGAGATATATTGGGAGCGATGTGGCTGAGGGGAGATATATTGGGGAGGGAAGTGGCTGAGGGGAGATATACTGGGGAGTCATATGACTGTGGGGCTGGAGGGCAGGGGCAGTATTGTGTCTTTGGACCAGTGTAGTAAATATCTGGTTTCAGTCTTAGGCTATGTTAGTCTAAAAGTGAATATGACATTATTTAGCCAAATTTGCCTACATTTTCAATCCAGCACAATTTAGCATTTAGCTATAAAACCCAATGTTGCAATCTTTTCACTGTTTGCAACATGCTGGGATTTATTCACTAAACTCAGAACTGTAAGACCAAACTTAATTAAACAATATGAAATCTTGAATTTTTTTTCCAGTTCAGCTATTTTAGGTTCCATTTTGTCGCACGTATATCAATTTGCTTCAATGTGGAGTTCAGTAAATAAACGTTTATCAATAGTGGATGTGACAAGCTCCTGTCTTCCTGACTCTTTCTACAGCGACACCCGAAGCCTAATGATATCTTTACTGAATCGCCACATACCATGTAATCCGCTGTATATTAAACCCAGGATCCCAGTGCTTCTGCCTCATGCACCAGAATATATTAATCCCAGAGCAATAAATAGTTAGCGGTCCCTAAACTGAGCCGATCTTTCTAGAATGTGGAAATAAATTTCATGAAATTCCATTCCTCATCTTTTCCTCCCCTGTTTCTGATTTCTAAAAAAGGAAATGGTAATTGAAAATAACATTTTGTTTAACTAAAGCAAATTTCTGCAACTGTATAACTCATCGTTACTAAAAGTAAAAAGTAAATGAAAAAATTCCAATACAAACAAAATGATTTTAAAATGCTTTACGTTATCAGTGAGATTCTAAAACAAAGGACAGAAAGGATTAGTAATGAGCTTAGAGAGTGTCATTAGAATGGGTCACTATATAAATAATGCAATGCGGAGAGGGGAATATCCAGAGTACGGGAGTGTAAGAATGTAACTCCAGTGAGGTCACAGATTTCTGCAGGGTCATTAGTTGAACTAAAATTGCTAGGTTTGAAAGGAAAATGTATGGTTAGAATCTGAGAATACGTGGCTGGCTTTAAACACCTTTCAATCTGTCGTCGGTTGGGCTAACATAGTCCATCTGATATGTAACTAGAAATTTGTAGATAATTAAAGGGGAATTGTTATTTCACCAAGATTTTAAGTATTATCAGGGTTATTCACTAAAGCGAGACATCAAAGTGAATTACAAATTTTAGGTAAATGAAGCCAAAGTGAAAACATTTTCTAAGTCATCTATTTTTCCAATTCAGTTACTTAAATTTGAAATTGACTTTGAATTCACTTCAAACTCTCACTTTGTTGAATGGCCCTGTTTTTTTTTTGTTTGTTTTTTTTTTACTTATCCCATATTTGTATTTGTGAGTTGTGAAAATTTTAAATTAAATAAATTAGAAAAAGGCAAAGCGATAAAACCCTCGGCATTGTGAGGGTTAATCATATGGTCACATAATAAAATAAATAAAAAGTAAATAAAATAAATAAGCCTACGGGGTTCAATAAAACCCTGATATTACTATAAGAGATATTTTAAATGTCCCTATGCCCCCACCAGCCATGCTTATCTACTAAATATTTAAAACTAGTGACTAGGTAGCCATTACTGCCCAGCTTTTAGAAAGGTCACATTGCATATTGATAGGTCATTCAAAATATAGGGGCCCCCAACGTGCCTCCAGCCATGGACATAGCCTTGCACAGTTCTCTGGTAAAGGGGCAAACCATTTATTCCAACATAATCTGCATCACTTTACAATTATAAAATAGGGATATTTGTCAAAGCGTAATTAACATGTACAATATAACATAGACAAGAGCTGAAGAAAGCCCTGCTCCAAGGAGCTTACAATCTATGAGGAAGGGGTAAAAACACACACGAGAAATAACAGCATGTCAGAGGGGGTAGGGATTGGTGGATAAGATTCCTGCACTGATAAGAAACTAGTAACAGTGGAGGATGGAAGAACCTAACAGTGGCATGAGAGAGAGTGACCTGGGCCTTGGTGGCAAGGGAAATGATAAGGGCAGTGAATTGAGAGAAATGTCACCCAGGAAGATGGTAAGCTTTCCTAAAGAGGTGTATTTTCTGACTTCTGATGGCAAGGAGTAACAAATTCCAAAGACATGGAGCATCATAGCCATCCCGGCTTGGCAATTAAGGATGTCACTGGTGACCTGGGACGGGTGAGTACCTTTAGACACCGTGACAGCTGACCGTTCTCTCAACCAATGACTAACATTTTGGCTGATAATGCTGCTAGAGGTAAACTATGTGTGCAGCATTTCAGAGTGAAACACTGCACACGCAGACTCCAGGCACCATCACCACTTCAATTCACTAAAGTGGTCATGGGTACTTGAAGTAACCTTTCAACTGCATTATCCTCTGTTCTTCATTAATATTTTACCTGCCTTACCTTCTTTACTATATTTTCCTATTTTGTACGTAATCTTCTTCATTGCACTACCTGCAATATTACCTGCATTACAAGAAGTTGAGAACCAATAGAAATGATAAAGTTCTTCCAACCAGTATAAAAAACAAAATATATATAATAGTATAAACGTCAACTACTAGATAAAATTTAACATCCGCTACAACAAATCAAACGTTTTAGAACATTAATGAAAAGGAATAAACAGACTCGAAAAATAATTTTAAATCACACTTTTAATAAATAAAATTCTTTTATGGAACAAAGGATTTTTTTTTTTCGTAAGAAACAGATAGGTAAAATAAACTAGAAAAATATTCACGAGGGGGTATTTGTAGCTACTGCCATAGCTTCTGGCATAGATATGCACACATTTCAAAGGCAACTCGTATGGAGTTATTCACTGAAGTGAGAATTCAAGGTGAATTCAATGTGACTTTTCTATTGAGATAGCAAGTGGTTCCCCCCTTAGAGGACCACATGTCATGTTCAGAGGACCTGTGTTGTGGGCATAACCCAAGACATTTAATACCAAGAAGAAAATTAACAACAGTTTCCAGAGACTCCTCTATAATGAGTCAATGGAACAAGATAAGTCCTCAAATAAATAAATTAACAATAAAGAATTTAAGCAAAAACATCCCCCAAACCTTTATTGATTACTTAAACCTAAAGTTGGAAGCAAATTACAATAAAAAAATAATGACATCACCCTCTAAAAATATGCATTGTTCTGTTTCATGCAGCAATACTCCTTCGTTCGATATTAAAGTTCCAAATTGTATTGTTTCATGTTCTCGAGACTATTTTTAGAAGGTAATGTAATTATTGCTTTGTTGTAATTTGTTTCAAACGTTAGGTTTTAAGTAATCTATAAAGTTTTATATTTTATTTTTTGTGATTTACGAATTTTATGTTGAATATCAAAACCTGGAGATATGATCTGTGTCAGCGATACTTTCAGTTTGGTTGTGTGGCATTAAATTTAAAATCCACTTTAAATTCGCTTTGAATTCTCACTATAGTGAATAACCTTGAAACATCACTGTGAAGCCAAAAAAAGACAAACCGGTAATTAATTAAACAAACTTGTAAAAGACTCTTCATTAAACAGCATGATATATCTATATATATATATTTATTTTTAATTCAGACTTAAAAAAGCAGAATTAGAAAATATATAAACTTGTCCATCCACTTTGAAGGTTGGGTTTGAAGTTACTTGGTAAATGGACCCAGAATTTTTTAGTTTAATAGAAGTATGCCGGTATAATAAAATATTTTATAAATCTAGAAATTAAGTTTTGTGTAGAGCATAACTGCCACATCACATAAATAATTCAAGATAAAATAGATAAAATATAAGCCGAATACTGCGGAGTATTTCATTTAATACAGAACTGATATATGAATTTGTTCATAGATGACACTAAAGTATCATATGGAATCCCAAATAGAATAGACAAATCGGTTGTATGTTTCTATAACGTGAATTGCACTGTGTATAGCTCATAGTCTAAAGGCCTATATAGATAAGGAGGATGAAGTTCTTTGTAGAACATAAAATAAAGACATTACGTTATAATATAAATATCACATTCGAGTTTTCTATGAATACATATCAGTTTTCATTTTATGACATACTCGCTGTCAGCAGACGTGAAGACAACATGAAGAGCAGTGCCATACAGTAGAATCAGATTAAACATATCACGCAATAAATAAACTACTTTACATTCTCTCCAAATAATAATAATTGAGAAATATAAACTATAGGGATAAATCTACCGTTTATGTAAGCAGGGTGTCCTGCTTTGAGGAAAGACATTTCTTTTCATAATAAGCTAGAAGGAACAGGGTAAAACACAGAATGCTAAAATAATTAGGTGCTGACCCCAAAACATAGCCCTGCTCACAACATTTCTATATGGCAAACGCTTCAGACAGATCCATATTCACTGACTTGAATATATATATTAAAAAAAAAAACGCGCACACACACAAACACACACACACACACACTCTCTCTCTCTCTCTCTCTCTGTAGTGCCCTTACCAAACATGCATTTATTGGAATTCTGATACATTACTAAACTAATACATTGTTTCTACTTTTTATAATTTTGTTCTTGTAAGGCAAACAGGAATGAATTTTTGTCAGGAATAGACAGTGGTCAGCAGCAGACACAAGGCACTTGTATTAAATGGGACACTCTAGGCACCATAATCACTTCATCTAACCAAAGTGGTTTTAGTACTTGGAGTCCCCTGGCACCTTCCCACAGTTCCCACAGTTCAGCTTGAAACCATTTTGTTTGTGGTTTAACTTAGAATAGGTTTCCCAGGCTGCCTGAAGCCCGTGTCTCTCTGCTGCTCGGGGCTAATTGTTCTTGGCAGAAGCAGAGATGGACGGTGGTTATAGGTTTGAGAAAGTCAGCTGAGCGCTCTCACTCTGTCACAGCTGCCCATTGCTGCTAAGAATTGGTATGGCTAATCGAAATGTAACCCCTGCATTAGCCAAGAAAATGGATTAACACTGAAACAGGGAGATGAGTACTGTGGGACTCCAGGCACTATAACCACCTCAATGAGTTGAAGTGGTTATGGTGCTTAGAGTTTCCCTTTAATAAAATACCTGAGCAGTCAAACTATGCATACAATCAGAGGTACATTAACTCAGCTCTCTGGACACAGACAATATGGAACTTTATAAATGTTATCAATAATATAACTCACAAAGGATCATAGCAGTTTTAGTTGCCATGGCAGATCATTACATACGTGTTGGATGCTTTGTGAATAAATACACGTTAATTCTACAAAACCAGCCGTATTGATTCCTTTTAAAACTATCTGAATCCTAAGCAATGCTAGGCATCACCTTTCTTGTATCTCCAAACAGCTTTCAGGCCTCATATGTGTCTAGGAAAATCTGGCTGAGGCTGCGGATCTAATACACGCGTTACGTCTGAAAATGACTAAATGGGATTATTAGTTTGCCCGCATCAAAGGCTGTTTAAAGAAAAAAAGCTAACATTTCAAAGTACACAAATGCATATTGTACCAAGTGCCTAGATATAAAATGATTGTCTAGCAAGTGCCAGTTCTGAAAATATGGCACTGAAATCAAGTATGGCAATAAAAAGTAGAATGTTACATTAAACTCGCTGCTTGTACAGGGCTTAGATGTATTAAAACAAATACAGCCATACACACACATATACACACACACACATATTAGCATACACACTTATTAGCATACCGTATATATACTGATCAGCCACAACATTCAAACCACCTGCCTTATATAGTGTAGGTCCCCTTGTGATGCCAAAACAGCTCTCATGCATCGAGGCATGGACACCGCATGACCTCAATGTCATGTGTTATCTGGCATCAAGGCATTAGCAGCAGATCCTTTAAGTCCTACAAGTTGCAAAGGTAGGGCCTCCATGGATCAAATTGTTGTTCTACCATATCCCACAGATGCTCAGTCAGATTGAGTTCTGGGAAATTTGGAGGTCAAGGAAACACTTTGAACGTTTCATGTTCCTCAAACCTTTACTGAACAATTTTTACAGTGTGGCAGGTTGCATTGCATTATCCTGCTGAATGAGGCGACTGCCATCAGGGAACACTATTGCCATGAAGGGGTTAAGTGGACTGCAATAATCTCTAGGTAGGTGGTATGTGTCAAGGTTACATCAACAAGAGGACATAGTCTTAAATTAGAGGGACAAAGGTTTTAAAATAATATCAGGAAGTATTACTTTACTGAGAGGGTAGTGGATGCATGGAATAGCCTTCCAGTTGAAGTGGTAGAGGTTAACACAGTAAAGGACTTTAAGCATGCGTGGGATAGGCATAAGGCTATCCTAGCTATAAGATAAGGCTAGGGACTAATGAAAGTATTTAGAAAATTGGGCAGACTAGATGGGCTGAATGGTTCTTATCTGCCGTCACATTCTATGTTTCTACATCCACATGAATGTCACTAGATCATGTTTTCCCAGCAGAAAATTGCCCAGAGCACAACACTGCTTTTTCCATAGTGCATCCTGTTGCCATCTGTTACCCAGGTAAATAACACACACACACACGCGTGTGCCCCCTCCCGTCCCCCTGTCCCCCCGTCCATCCACCTGATCTAAAAGAAAACATCAGATTCATCAGACCAGGCAACGTTCTTCCACTGCTCCATGATCCAGTTCCGACGCTCATATCCCCAAGGCACTTTGGGCGGTGGACAGGGGTCATCTTGAGCACTCTAACAGGTCAGTGGATTCGCAGCAAACTGCACCTTTCTATCATAGCCAGCATTACAATTTTAAACTATTTGAGCTACAGTTTACTGGTTGTCCTTTCTTTCAAAACTTTTGGTAGGTACTAACCACTGCATACCGGGAACAGCCCACAAGACTTGCCGTTTTGGAGATGCTCTGACCAGACGTCTAGCCATCACTATTTGGCCCTTGTCAAAGTCACTCTGACCTTTTTCACTTGCCTATTTTTTCTGCTTCTAACATATGCAATTCAAGAACTGACTGTTCACTTGCTGCGTAATGTATCCCAGACCTTGACAGGTGCCATTGTAACAATATAATCAATGTTATTCACATCACCTGTCAGTGGTTTTAATGTTGTGACTGATCAGTGTGTACAGTATAAATATATCTACACAATACTATGACAGCACTATGATTATGTTACTATGATCAACAAATCTCATTAACATTAAATGCAGGGAATAATTTCAGTAATTTCTGCCCTAGAGACATTAGGGTTTTATTCACTCGACCGAAAACTGTAGAGCATTTACAAGAGAATTTCACATCATAACCAGACCTTCAAACTGGAACAAAATAGCGAAGGCTGGACACATTTTCCAGCTGAACTATTTTGGATTAAAATGTGTTAATCCCATTCAGTTTTAGCTCTTCCCTGTGTCATGAGTGATTAATATTTGCATTTACATAGCGCCAACGCATTCCGTAACTCTTTACAATAACTGAAAGGGAATATTTAGAGGTGAAGAAAGTACTGCGCTAACAAGATTACAATCTCTGAGGGTTTGAGGTAGGTGGATGCATATCATTAGGTATTTTGCCCAGGGACACTTACTGGTTAGGTGACCTCACTGAGATTTTGAACCTGGGTTTGCCGGTTCTGAATATACAGTGGTTGTCTTTGCATTGCAATTGTCCAACAAAATATCCAGTTATAGTTCTGTCCAAAACTGATATATTACTTTGCATATTGTCTACTCTAAGCAGCTCTAATATGGCTTCCAGCAAAATACTTTACATTTTATATCATTTCTATTTATATGCTAACATTTTTCTGGCAGGATTCCATGCAGGCCATGAAATTGCAGTAGTCTGCTTCAGGAGTTATTAACTATACTTCTACAATGATGTCATGTTTGGTATTTTAATGCACATTGTTCTGTGTATATTGTGGATAAGGATCATTTTCTCTAAATGCCGACAGTCAGAATAAATGCAATATTAAATAAACCTCGTCTTATAACATAAACTTCATAGTCTTACAAAGTTCCTGATAATCATATTTATAAAGTGCAATTAGGGGACAAAGTTCTAAAATCAAAGCAATCACCATTGAAACCGACGGAATGTTCCCTCTGCGTACCATACTTTTAGAATGTTAGCCTCAAATTGCCCTTCTTGAGAACCTCTACTGAAGTTTCAGACTGCGAGTTTGCTATGCTACGACCTATAACATGACTTTTTTTCCATTAACATTTAAAATTCATATTGAATTCACAACAATTCAGACATCATCGTTAGACTTATTTTAAAAAAAAATATTTTCCTTAGAAACCACCAGCAGTTGTATCAAGGCAAATGCAAAACTTTTAGGGCAAAGTGCTAAGTATGTGTCCCCCTAAGTGGATCATTCTAAAGGTTTCTATGGCAAAAGCTTCAAAAGTATTACTTTGTTCCATGAATGCTCTTAGATTCTCCATGCAATAATCAATGACTTTAGCACATGGTGTAAATGGGAGTAGACTTTATTACCCAATAAATCCAATTAATCTTCCTGACTGTTAGGAGTCCCCCTTTTTTTCTTGATTGGCTCCTTTGTAGTTACCTTCAAAGTACAGACTTTTCAGACCTTAGAAAATAGTCACCTTTTTAACTTTATTTGAATTCTTCTTTGATGCATCACTTAAAGGTTCGCTAAACTCTTTTAGATTTCTGATTGTCCTAATGAATGTTTTACCTTATTTTACTTATTATTACAGGGAGTGCAGAATTATTAGGCAAATGAGTATTTTGAGCACATCATCCTCTTTATGCATGTTGTCTTACTCCAAGCTGTATAGGCTCGAAAGCCTACTACCAATTAAGCATATTAGGTGATGTGCATCTCTGTAATGAGAAGGGGTGTGGTCTAATGACATCAACACCCTATATCAGGTGTGCATAATTATTAGGCAACTTCCTTTCCTTTGGCAAAATGGGTCAAAAGAAGGACTTGACAGGCTCAGAAAAGTAAAAAATAGTGAGATATCTTGCAGAGGGATGCAGCACTCTTAAAATTGCAAAGCTTCTGAAGCGTGATCATCGAACAATCAAGCGTTTCATTCAAAATAGTCAACAGGGTCGCAAGAAGCGTGTGGAAAAACCAAGGCGCAAAATAACTGCCCATGAACTGAGAAAAGTCAAGCGTGCAGCTGCCACGATGCCACTTGCCACCAGTTTGGCCATATTTCAGAGCTGCAACATCACTGGAGTGCCCAAAGCACAAGGTGTGCAATACTCAGAGACATGGCCAAGGTAAGAAAGGCTGAAAGACAACCACCACTGAACAAGACACACAAGCTGAAACGTCAAGACTGGGCCAAGAAATATCTCAAGACTGATTTTTCTAAGGTTTTATGGACTGATGAAATGAGAGTGATTCTTGATGGGCCAGATGGATGGGCCCGTGGCTGGATTGGTAAAGGGCAGAGAGCTCCAGTCCGACTCAGACGCCAGCAAGGTGGAGGTGGAGTACTGGTTTGGGCTGGTATCATCAAAGATGAGCTTGTGGGGCCTTTTCGGGTTGAGGATGGAGTCAAGCTCAACTCCCAGTCCTACTGCCAGTTCCTGGAAGACACCTTCTTCAAGCAGTGGTACAGGAAGAAGTCTGCATCCTTCAAGAAAAACATGATTTTCATGCAGGACAATGCTCCATCACACGCGTCCAAGTACTCCACAGCGTGGCTGGCAAGAAAGGGTATAAAAGAAGAAAATCTAATGACATGGCCTCCTTGTTCACCTGATCTGAACCCCATTGAGAACCTGTGGTCCATCATCAAATGTGAGATTTACAAGGAGGGAAAACAGTACACCTCTCTGAACAGTGTCTGGGAGGCTGTGGTTGCTGCTGCACACAATGTTGATGGTGAACAGATCAAAACACTGACAGAATCCATGGATGGCAGGCTTTTGAGTGTCCTTGCAAAGAAAGGTGGCTATATTGGTCACTGATTTGTTTTTGTTTTGTTTTTGAATGTCAGAAATGTATATTTGTGAATGTTGAGATGTTATATTGGTTTCACTGGTAATAATAAATAATTGAAATGGGTATATATTTGTTTTTTGTTAAGTTGCCTAATAATTATGCACAGTAATAGTCACCTGCACACACAGATATCCCCCTAACATAGCTAAAACTAAAAACAAACTAAAAACTACTTCCAAAAATATTCAGCTTTGATATTAATGAGTTTTTTGGGTTCATTGAGAACATGGTTGTTGTTCAATAATAAAATTAATCCTCAAAAATACAACTTGCCTAATAATTCTGCACTCCCTGTACATTCATTGTGAAAAAGTAAAATTGTAAATGTAATACCACAAAAAAGAGAGAATGAAAAGGCTTTCAGAAATGACCACTTACACATTAAATGACCATATCAGTTATTTAAAAGGTAACCATGACACCCCACACGATACAATATCCCATCATGCTAAGTGGTCATAACTTGGTATTTAAATAATAAAGTATCACTGGTAACAAAGAGCACTACAAATTATAATGACCTGTTTTTTATTACATGCCCCCTCACAGAATGAAAGTCTGTAACAAGTTCCACAGGTTTGGCATTTGAACCCGGCAGACTATTCATTATCATGTTTGGAGCTACTGGGCTAGTTTGCTGTAGAGTTCACAGAGTTAATCTAATAACCAGATCTGGTGGAACTTTCAACGTAACGGAGATGTGTGGTGAGTGAACCTGCAAAGATGTAAAATTAAAGCATAAATTCTCCTATTCAAACTGCAAGTTTACTTGGTCTAACTTTATCTAGACTAACAACTCAATAGTCAACTCACCAAAAGTTGAGTGATTTCTGCCTTAATTCAAACAAATTATGATTGAGTGGATTTGAGTTTTAAATCCTAATTATAAAAATGAATAGGGCACTGAATGCTGATACTGAGCCTTTCTTAGTTTTATCTATATAATAATGAGATAAAATATCAGGCATCCCAATACACCCAATTCTGGGGTCCTGTCTCATCATCCTGATTTTGTTCCCTGGTATCCCAGCTATTGTGAGCGTTCCTTGTGACACAAGTTGGTTCACAAGTGATGCACTCTCAAGACCCACCCACATGTCCAGATCAGATACTTCACAATGTACCAATGTAGGGAGCTATAAAATATATGAAACCAACAATAGCAACATAATGAATGGTAAAAATAACACTTATAATACTAATTGATTGTGTTAATGGACACACCAGGTTAGGAGGGAGTGAGAGGAAGGGAGCTGTACACAGGTACATTAACCAACCTAGAGAAAGTATTTTAAAATGGAAGAGGTGGAAAAGTGGAGGCAGGGTTAACCTGCAAAAGGTTGCACAAAATTCATTAATTAAAAAAAAGAAAAGCAATCAAAATTAGGCAAGAAAAAAAAATATATGTGATTATTTTGGCCAAAAACCACAAAATGCAAAAAGATTGTATGGTGTCTAGCGTGTGCCTTTGAACTTGGAATTTAGAGACTCCATAAAGTATCAAAAAAGTCAGACAATGAATTGACAAAACAATGCGTTAAGGAGCAAAGTCTACACTCAGTTAGATGGTTGATGTGGAAATAGAATGCTAGCTTGCCTTTGTTGGTTTGTCTTCGAAACGGATGCATTTTAACAGCTATAACATATAGGAAGTCGAACAGGATACCTATACCATGATGCTTTAAACACTCTATCGGTAGTCTACATCAAACAATTCTATTTGGACAGCATGATAATACGATACAGCTATATCAAAAATTCCCTTTAAACCTGACTTGGAGTGGGACATAATTTAAATAATTTAATTTTAAGAATTTATAAAGCAAAAAATAGGACATATGAAATCTACCGTATACATTGTTTGCTTTGTTTTCTCTCATATTTTTTTTTTAAACAATAACCAACATAGAACAACCAAATAGATTAAAACACAAAAAGAAAATATTAATATTTAAAAATTTGCAACTCTGATAATGTCCTCATGTTTATACATACACATATATTAAAAAAAAGACATAGATCAATAGCAAATCTGCAGTAACGTTTGCAATTTACAGCAAAAAATTCCCCCAGAGATATGGAATGAAAAGAACAATTCTGTTAAAATACTTTAGCAAATTTTAAATAAAAAGTAAAAGCTCTTAAACCGTGGGGTCTTAAAGTCTGTGCTTACAATACTGAAAAAGTATCCGCAATTTCATACGCTCGGTTTCACATTGTTTTGTTCTCGATGTTACTTGTTGCATTGGTTGTCTCTTTCCTGCTGCACGAAGCTGAATTGTACTAATGTGAAATGCGTCCGCCACCACACAAGGTCACTGCACACATCCAAATTGGAAAAGAAACCAAAACTCAGACAGCCGCTGTCTGCTTTATACTGTGAAAGCTGATTCTAGTTGGCGATGTTGGTATAGACATTGCTCTGGCTACCCGCACACGCAAAGAATGATGATCTTGCCAACGGTGCCACCTTTTTCTTGCAGCGGAGCGAACCTAAATGGAGAAAAGAAAGAGGCTAACTTGAGATGCTTGTCACAGCAGTTTCCTCTTGTATTAGATTAGATCAGAATGTGCTCCAATTAAAAATTATATATATTACATTTTAAGCAGTTTACAATATCATGCATGTGCCAATTTCTACAGAACTAAGTTTTACTTATATATATTAGGTATATAGTGACTAGGTTCACTATATTTTTTTTAGGCCTTCATAGACTACAGCTATGCCGAAGTCCTATCAAGGGTGCCATGAAGGTAAGGTATTTTTTAATTTATAAATTTGTTGGACATTTCACTTGCTCGAGGTGCATATATGAGATATTCATGCTGACTGCAAAGGGATTTCATTGAAATTCCAACACAATCCAATGATATAGTAAGACAAAGTAGGGACCGGCCATAAGTTATCAAAAGTTGAAAAATGGTGAAGCTCCACCATCAACGTTTCTCCAATCCCAACAGATGTCGCAAGTGACGGCTGTGGAATTCAGGCATCATTCTAGCAACTTACTGTTACAGTACAAGAAACACACCCTACCTTTACCTGTCGTGTCACCTTACCCCACGGGGGGCTTTTGTTAAATTTTTAACCCACTTCTCGCTTATTTTGACATTTTCATTTTTCTGGTATGTGTTATTTGTTGGACACTATTATACAGGTATCTATTTAAGTCTGTTTCAGGATTGATACTATTGATTTCTAGTATTGAGTATTGATTATGCTTATTTTTTGATGAGGTTACACTATCTACGCTGTGACTTATTGATATATATATTGGAATACCTGTGATTTTGTACCTGTATAATAAAGTACATTTTATTTATCTGTTTGTGCTTCTCATCCACTATTATTGTCATGAAATACATCCTACCCTTACCTACTGTGTCCCTTTATCCCACTCCCTCTAGAATGTAAGCTCATTGAGCAGGAGCCTCTGAAGTCAAAGGAGCTTATCATCAGGAAGATGATGGTCGTGGCTACAAGGAACATCATGTAGTTTGCATGCACTTCAGTAGGTGGCCACCGGACCTTTAGCAAAATATGCTTTAATACTATTGTTTAACATTCTCTATATTTCAGGAATGTTGACATGCTAGATCAGGGGTAGGCAACCTTGGGCACTCCAGATGTTGTGGACTACATGCCCCATAATGTTCTTACACTCATAATGCTAACAAAGCATCATGGGAGGTGTAGTCCAAAATATCTGGAGAGTCAAAGGTTGCCTATGTATGTGCTATATTAAAAGACACTCAGTATTACTCAATAATACACAATGTTGAACATGTTTGACATCAGAGCTCATTGCTTTGCAAGCCCATAACATAGAGCATGACTGTAGGTAATAAGTTAAGGTGAAGAACTGCAGTTTTACTAGATTATGAAACCAACATCTCCTTCACAAGTAACAGTCCAACTGAATTAACACCTTGTACCTTGAAACAGGAAACACTTATTGCATGTCTAGGGCATATCATTAATTGACATGAATTACAAGTTTCGAGATTGATAGGGCCAGGGTTTTGTCACTGCAATCAGAGTGAGAGCATTAATATATGAAATTAAATTTAACTTTCCCTTAAACAAATGAGTGTGACTGCTCCTTTAAATGAAGGGTAAAATGAACAAACAAAGGTTTTTAAATCCTTGCAATCATTACTCCAGTCTGATTGCCAGCAGGCTTTGAACGTCTCTCTAATCAGCGGTTTCCTGGTGATAAATGTGCTGGCAAAGACAGTTATATTAATTTCATCTAATAAATGTGAGCCTCTAATAAATTAGAAATACTATGATTAAAACTGAATATTGTCTTTGATCTCACAAGAAATCTAAGTGCCGTAATGAATCCAGATTGTAAATAGTTAATGACCTTAACCAATTAACCCCTTAAGGACACATGACGGAAATATTCCGTCACGATTCCCTTTTATTCCAGAAGTTGTGTCCTTAACCAATTAAATACACACACTGGCAATTCTTAAATGTTTGTGAACATTTCCCGTGATGGTCAACTGATATAATTATTTGTAATTTCCCAATAAAAATAAATACAAAAAAATAAAGAATAAAAAATGATGTAATTCTGGGTTATTAAGTAAATTGTGAATTGTCAATAATTCAAAATGAATTTAAATTTTAGCCTCAAATAATCAAACTGAATACATAATGGAAAAGAGTTAAAATCTTTAGTTTTTTTTTTTCTTTACTTTCTCCTCCTTTGCCCAGCCAGACTGATGTCAGTAGACTGGCAACCACAGATCTATAATTATACAAAAGTTTTGTTTGCTATAATTTCAAATTAGCTTCACTGCTTTCCAGAAATTATTGCTATCAAGTAAATCAATATTTTAATATGTGGGAAATTAAAGGGACACTATAGTTACCAGAACAACTACAGCTTAATGTACTTGTTCTGGTGAGTATAATCGCTCCCTTCAGGCATTTTCATGTAAACACTGCCTTTTCAGAAAAAAAAGGCTGTGTTTACATTGCCCCTAGGGACACCTCCAAGTGGTTACTCCTTAGATGGCCACTGGAGGTGCTTCCTGGCTCAGTGCTGCACAGTAAGCAGCCCTGCCGTTCAGCATCTCCACGCTGTGCATGGAGACGCTGAATTTTCCTCATAGAGATGAATTGATGCTGATTGGCACCACCCCCTTGCCAATTTTAGCCAATCCAATGCTTTCACATGGGAAAGTATTTGATTGGCTAAAAATCGGCAGTTCTGATGATGTCACCAAGGGGGCGGGGCTAGTGCCAGCGGACGCAGGGCAAGACACCTAAGTGGTGGGTTAAACAGTATAGGGTCAGGAATACATGTTTGTGTTCCTGACCCTATGGTGTTCCTTTAAGTAATTTATATAGTTTGGTTTCCAAATATAAACAGCTACAATGTGTGTTAATGTGTAGCAAATTTACTTGCCCACATGTTTAAATACAAACAAAAAGCACATTTAAACAAAGACAAAAAATGTAATTCTTTAAACTAGTTTTCTCTATTAAGTTTTTGCAGACAAAGTGAAAGTTAAATTACATAGTTCCTCAAATGAACTAGCATGTGACAGAACCATCTGTCTGCTGGATTTTTGCCCGTTCGTCTGTTTGTCCCCGTTCGTATGAACGGCTGGTTTCTATAGCCCAGCCATTCGAATGACTCTTTTTTCCCGAACAAATCTGCCGAACGAACGGCCACCCAAGTGAGGAGTGTGCTGCAGGTTAACGAAGTGATCACCATTATAACGTTGTGGTTAACCGCAGACACTTCTCAATTAAACCGAACTCAGGGTGGTCGTCGTTCGTATGTCGACCACGAGGCAGCGGCCATTTTAAATCATGCGAACGCCCAGCGGTGTTTGGCTCTATTTCTATGGAACTGAAAACGGACACTTTTTCTGCCGAACACCGCTGAAACAAGGGAACGCCTGGCTGCCTCCACGAAAGCATGCGAACACCGGCCGTTCGGGAGATTGAGAGCATACAAAAGACTTAACCCAGATAGCCTTCCCATGGAGTCATTCGTATACCGAAAGACTGTAAGAACTTTGACTCCATGGTGATTGAACTATGTGTGTGGGATCTGAGCGCTATTCGCTAATAATATGCACTCAGATCCAGGCTATCTGGGGACATGTAATACAAATGGGAAATGTTCAGTTTTCATGTAGTTATGCATTTTTATGTCTTTTATTATTTTATGTTTAAAATGGCGACTGTCCTTGTCCTGGAGTTAATTGAGTTACTTGGTAATTAACTCCAGGACAGAGGGGAGGGAATCAGACTGCACTGTGGGTAAGAGATGTGACTGTGTGTCAGAAATGTCCTTCTATCTGTCTGTAATTTAAGTCTTCCATTTGGTCCCCTAGGGGAGTGTCCACCAGGTGGGAGACCTGCATAAATACGGGCAGGTAGCCCACAGTAAAACCAGATCTTATTTGACCCTCAATGCGGAGCTTCTGTCTCGTTATTGGGGGGATTTCTTCTTCACGGTTAGAGACTGCTGGATGGAACTTAAGCCGTTTTGGGGATATTATTGTTCGACGGTTCATAGCAGTTCGTATATTGCCGTTCGGGAGTTTGGAGCCGTTCGTGGATTTCGATCGGGAGATTGTCGCTTCCCCTGCATTTGGTTCGTGGGTTACAGAGTAAGCGAACGGAGACTGTACTGCAGCCGGGGAAGGTTTACTAAACGGCGGTTTGACTTAAAGACACGGGAGGTGTGTTAACATAGCACTATAGCAATGTTAACACAATTTAAAAGAACATGCTTCAGCTTGCTGAAACGCTTTATGTATGAAGAGCGTGTCCTCTTATTTTCATTCTAAAAAATTTCAGGTTGTGTTTTTAAAAACTGACTTTGTTACACCCCCTGTCTGTTACTTCCTGGTTTGTTTAGCCTAGTGGAGCTAAACTCATAGGCAGCAATTGCCCAGAGCACCTGCCTTCTAAAGACTTCTCACTGAGCTGCATTGGGAA